TTGCGCGCAGTGAGCGTTCTCGACCCCGCACAACATGATCTATTCGACCACCATTATGGTTACCGCCAAAAACAAAGGAGGAAAAAAAAAATTGTAACCTGGTTGCCGAGTTCACGAAGTGAATTGGCTTGTTTTACAACGTCGTTGCCAAGCGACGAAAACCCAACCCCGATGGCAAACACCGGGGGGGAGGGGGGGGGAGGGGGGAGAAAGCAAACAAACAGGCGAGAAAAGGGACGCGAGTGGGATGTGCGTCTGTATTTTTTGCCCTTTGACCTTACGGCTTTCTTCCGGGCCAAATTGTTGTTCGACCAAAAATCACTACCCAGGCAGCGTAGAAGAGACTCGAAAGAGACTCGTGCTGCCCAAACCCCGCCAAATATGAAACAGACAACAATTGCCTGGTGTGCTTGCTTTCAACAATCTGAGTGTCGGCTGAAGCACCATGAGCCCCCTGTCTTGGTTCTACTGTTGTATGTCCAGTAGAAAAATCACATAATCTCGTACTTGCGAAATTCACAAACCCCAACAAAGATAGGCAGAGGACCGAACAGCGGAGGACAATTTTGACACCTTCCCTGTGCCCTCCTCTCTTATCAATGCCCCCAATGTGCTGGAAAAGCCTTGTATGACGATGCGAGGTTTCTCAAACTGAAGCAAGCATTTCTCAAAAGTCCAAATCCCCAAACGGTCTTGGGCTTGTTAACCGACGGTAGTATGGCGATAAAAAGCAACAACGGAGATAATCTTACGGTGATTGGAGGTAAACTGCACAGACGCCGGAACGGTTTTAATGCAAAGAACACGACAGCAACAACACCTGTCAACCTTTCTTGCCTCATGTCTTAACGAACTCGTGCGATAAACAAGGAATACCTTTTGTTTTCCCTGCTCGCCTAACCTCTTCCCGTCGCGCTGGAGGTACTTGTGTAACTCTGTCGTGCCGAACCCGGCCTCTACCAGCTCTTTGATCTTCAGCTCTTGCTGCTGGATTTCTTCCTTGCTGAGCTCATCGCCGAAAACTCGGGGAGGGGGGTGCTCCTTCCCGTCAGACATCCCCCCCTCCGGGATAGTGTCGTGCGTGAGGTGAACCTGGCGGCCGCCGCCGATCATGCATCACACGAGCGCGACAGTCCTCGTTAGTGGTTGTGAACACCCGGTGTGCACGGTTGTACAAAAAATGCGAGCATCACCACCTAAGCGAAGCCTCCCCCCAAGAGCTCTGAAAAGTGCTACAATACCCGGGCTTGACCGCGTCGCCACCAGAACAAAAAAATAACACCACCGAAAGCGCACGTTCCCGTGATACGTGTCTATCCTTTTCAACCCTTCGGCGAGATACGGCTGGATCGCGGCACATGCGAGTTGCACGCGACTATTGGGAGTACGGAAAGCAAAAGTCAACGGCTGACACCCCCCAAAACTGCGGGCAGCCCTGTTGTTCAAAATACCTCTCACGTTTCATGGACGACTCCCCTTTACTAATGGGCGTACAAACCTGTGTGATGTAAGGCCCCGCCGTCCTCTGTGGCCACTGGCAAAGCACTTTCCAGTTGCAGTTGATCTGGGCACGAGATCAAAGTAGGAAGGAACCAAGGGAGGGGGGTGCGTAGAATGGTGCAAGCAGTGGTTGGAGCGGGAAATCAGCAGTAGGAGTTGGGGTTGAAAGTGACACCCCCGACAGGGTGTGTTGTAGCCAACCGCGAAGCTCAAAGTTGATTGGCCATTATGCCGGTCGTCGTTTGTGCTAGTCCAGCAACCAGCTGCTTGTTGTTCGATCTTGCGCTAGGAATCCGCGAAGTTTCCCCACATTCGGAAAATATTCCATTGCAAAATTGAATTCTCGTACACACGTGTTGCCCCCTATGGAAAAAATACCATTTGCTTTTTATTATGCAGACATTGCAAATCCTGGAATCACATCCCTTGGCGGTCCCTCCGCATGGAGTTTTGAGTTATTCTGCCCTACCTCGCGCTGTAGTGCTGGTCCCTAATCGTGTAGACTACATACGATACGCCTTGCCCACTCATATAGACGCCCACACCCCAATTTCTGTCAGGTTTGGTTAAGGTTAGGTGTTCAGCAAACGACGTTGAAAGTTCGGTGCGTGCTTTCAGTCTTGGATTTCTGCTTCGAAGTAGAGATGTAGTCGGAGGTAGACGTATGATCGCTGTTGAGGCCTATCTGCTGACCACGCTGCTGACTACTTGAGCAGAGACTTGAATTTGGGCCGAGTTTCGTAGGCCAACTGCGCTCGCTGCAGTGCTGATCCCCAATCGTGCACATCGTAACATCGTTCTATGGTCTTTGATCTCCACTGTGGCCATGTATCGGCCGAATCGGGGGACTGTAGTGTTTCAGCAATCCTAGGTGAAAGTTGGCTCGCACGAGGTGGAAAAGGTTGCGCGCAGCAGCCGAAAGCTGGTTCAACTCAGATGTGATCGTGAGGCATTTGTCACGTCCAAAGCAAAATCAAAGGGTGAAAACTGCTTTCCGATGGAGGGTATGACCTGCGTGAGGTGCCTGTGTACTTTGGTGGCACGCCGAGGTCTGCATGAGGAGCACGAGGTGGTGAAAGAACTGGGGCCAGCCATGTCCAATCTCGGGAGGGGACGAAACAAAATTGACCCCGCTGAAACCGGCGGCTTGATTTTTTGTCTCTGCTTTTTTCAATTTTGTATAGGGGGCAACACGTGTGCATAGGTACTTAGTATCCCGAGAGTCGTCATTACGATCAACTTTGCGGTCTCACAAACAGACTGATACCGGAATAATTTTCGTAGCCAAGCACGTTTTTCGAGGACGTGTTCCAGCGTCTTCTGCAGACGAATGAGAGGCAGCAATATGGTGTCACAGATTGGAGCATACTTGAAATGCCAACTGCATGAATACCGCTTCGGGACGCCCTACGGATTGTACTGCTGGTGGTGCCGACGGCGAGTCTCCGTGCTTACTGCCGGCGCATGTCAACTTCCTGCGTGGGATTCCTCCTGCATAACCTCGGCTAATACACCAACACATGGATACATACACCGAGAGGCATGCAGACTGGCGCCAGAATAGATGGAACGATCAAATACAGTCGTCCCCGCTTTAAGGACACAAAATATCTCAGAAACATGGTGCCCCGCAGATGTGAAAAAGTAGGAGGGGTAGGGTTTTCCACCATTCGACCCCCCCCAGAAAATGGTTTTGAGAGCAAAGCACTTTTATTGCCAACGTTCGTTGTTTGCCTTTGGTGAAGTCTCGTGAGGTTGAATTTGGCGTTTGTGTTGTGTTGTGCCTCGTTTTGACCTGTTGGGAGGCGCGGTGTCCTCTTTGTCGCTGTGTTTTCCCGGCATTTTTGGTCTCTTGTGTTTCGGCGTAACCTACATTTTCCTAGTGTCGTTTTACAACCATCGATATTTCTCAGGTGCGGTAGCGAGATCTTGGGCAAGATATTCACGGGGAGGACAACGCCTAAAAAACAAAATAAAGCAAATAATTAAGCCCATATCAACACCAGCGCACTACTGCTGTCGTGTACATGTACGATGCGTAGGTCGTAGAACACCATCGCTTTCAGTGTTTTGGTGGTACAGTACGGGGAAATTCAAACGATGGTATGCAAGCATGTATTGCAGCACAATAGCAGCAGTGGTTGCGCGACCTTCAAATCACCTTGTGTCGTAGGTTTCAAACAACACCTCTTGTGGTCGCCTTTCTGCTGCGAATGCGCACCCATTGACACATGTTTCGCCTTCATTGGCCCCGGGGATGGTGCGATAGTGGCCCCGGAATTTTAAAGACACTTCCCCGCGTTCAAGACACTTTTTTGGGAAAACGTGGTGTGTCTTTAACGCGGGGTCGACTGTACGTACACACATGAGGGGAACTTAGCCTCCCCCATGACGCACCCGCACGAGGTCCCGAATCATGGCATTTAGAAGCAGTTTTCTTTTTGTCAGCCGCACTGGACCTGAGGATATTCCATTGGTCAGGCGGTTGCCGCGGCACATGCCAATATGTAAAAAAACTGACACACACGCACTCTTTCACGAACTGATATCAACGTTCTTCACTGCTGAGACACCTTCTTGGAGGACGTGTTCCTGCGTCTCTTGCAGTCGTCCGAGAGAGGGCTTCTGGCCGGTGTCCCCGCCTGGGCGCACTCAATTCGCACCGTGCTCCATCGGTTGGGCAAGCTTTTCTCGTGCTCATCCTTGCACCGAAAAAGCTGCCAAGCAGCGCAAGAAGAACAGCACGGGGGGGGGGGGGCNTGACGAATTGGTTGGCCAGTAAGCGCCGTCGATGCTAACGAATAAAACACACGCACAGAATGGTAGCGGCAGCAGCAGCAGCGTGTATGCGTCTCTGGCACAGACTCAGCAAGGGGTGTTGGGCACCTACATCGCATCCCACCGTGTCAAGCCTGGCCGAAGAATGTACACCTGGCGTGAAGGTCCAACATGACGCCATCTTTCCCGACCCGTCAAAAACCGACGGAATGATCCCGGGGTCCTGCCCAGAGCCGAAATCGATCGGCAAAAACTGTGCTCGATCACCTTCTGGCGGTTGTTACGTCGGAGCGGGTAAGCGCCCCCGACTTCGTTCCGGATCGTCTCCTCCACGTTCGCCCATGTCGATTCAACGTCTCCCAGGAAGGGAAACTTCCGACCGACGGCAATGCCCTCTGGGAACCCGAGAGCGGCGGGGGGGAGGGGGCGGGGGGTGTACTCATAGTCGTGCATGCCGTAGTCGTTAAACCATTGACCTCGCATCCCTACAAAGCCGGGACGGAGCACGCCGGGTTCTCACCGGACCAGGCTCACGCATCACCAAGCGCGAAGCGCCGTGAGGTGTTCGGCGAGTCGCATGAAGGGTGCGCTGCATCCTGCTAAGGGTTTTCGGCATCTTGTGCTTACTTCCCTGCGTGCGGATGACAGCTGCGTATGACTTAATTTACTTTCTGGTGCTTTCACTTCCAGAGACAGTTGTAAGCACTGAAACTGCCTCGAGGGTGCTTGACCATTTTAACACAACGTGGTGCGATCATCCCCCTTGGGCGGAGTGAGGATTGTCCACCCCGCACAACATGATCTACTCAACCACCATCATAGATACCGCCAAAAAAAAAAAAGAGGGGGAAAAAAACCCCCCGGTAACCTGGTTGCCGAACCTGGTTGCCGAGTTCACGAAGTGAATTGACTTGTTTTACAACGTCGTTGCCAAGCGACGAAAACCCAACCCCGATGGCAAACACCGGGAGGAAACTGGACGGGGAATCGAACCAGCGTCAAAGAAAGGGCCCTCGAGGGAACTCCCAACGTCCGCGTACCATGCGTGGTGCGCAGGCGGGGATGGTGCGTTCGCTATATTCAAAGGAATCAACCGCGCAGCGCTGCTGACCGGCCGACCCATGAAAAAAAGCAAACGTATTTTTTTGGCTTGTCGGGACAAAAATTTCCCACAATAGGCTTCAACACATGACCGTAATCATCGGGGTCTTGGCACAGGGTGTGCGGAAAAAAAGCGGGTTCCGAATGATTTGCTAGATATCGCACAGGTATCGTGGTCTCCACACACTGTGCGGAGACCACGATACGTGCGGTGAGGTTTGGCGGTAAGTGATACCCTTTCACCAGCATCTTGTGCTGGAAATTCCGGACACTGTGGGAGCTTGAATCGCGTGCTCCACTGCTACTGCTGCCCTCGGCACCTTGACGATGTTGAAAAATGTGGTATTTGTACTCTTTGTTCTCTTCTTTTCGTCCTGAAGAATCAAGATCGGCAAATCGGCAAACGGCATCTACTCAACAATTCTAAACGCAGGTGAAACCAAAAACGAAGTAAAAAATCACACCAAACTACCACTACGAGCTACCAACGTCCTACTACTGTACTTCCTAGGCAGGTTGAACTCTACTTCGTGCCCGCGCCCCTACCATCGCAAAAACACCAATCTCACTGGCAATCCCAAAGAACTATGATTCAAAGTTCGATTACTTCTCCTTCGGCGCCCCCGCCCCCCTGCCCCTCCACGACTTCCACGTCGCTGTCGCCCTCCAAGACCTCCACCTCGCTGTCGCTCTCATCAGCGACGTAGGGCAGCAGCTTCCCCTCGACCTCCTTCTGAGCAGCCGTGATGGGGTTGGAGTCGAACCCCCCTGGTACCTTCGGCAGCTTGAGCGGCGGGAGAGTATCGTCGGGGTGCTCAGCGAGCCACACGGCGTGCTGCTCCTCGAGAAGGTCGCCGTAGTCTTCCCCGAAGTTGTGCTCGCACCAGGCGTGGTGTTCGCTGCCGTCGAGCGCGAGCGTGAGACCGCAGATCTTGAAGCAAGTCTCCACCGTCTTGGAGGTGATGGACTCCCACGCTTCCTTGCACCACGTAGAGACAACCCCATGCTCCGGTGGATTCAGCTTCCCCGACCGGGCGTCTGCGACCGCCGAAGCGCTGCAGGCGGTGTACTTGCCCCGCAGCAGCCGCTTCATCTGCTTGTTGAGCATGCGGTCGAGCGGTTGGAGCAAGGACGTCAACCCGCCTGGGATGAAGATGACGGTCTTGGCGCCTCTCTTGAGGGCGGCGATGAAACCCTCGTCCTTGTGGCACTTGAAGTCGTCCAGCACCAGGATGCACGGGCGCTGCTGGACGATGCTGCCGTTGTTGGGACGGAGCTTCCAGCTGCCCGGGATCCACCCGTTGCACTCCCGCTGGTCACTCCAGCTCTTCTCCTGCACGCCGAAGGACATGCCGTTGGCAGGGGGAGTTATTCCGCGGCAGGGTGCTCTTGCCCTTGCCGCTCACGGTCGGGGGGATGAACGGCGTGCCCTTGAAGATGATGCGCGGCGAAACATCGTTTTGCCGTCCGCCATGACAGCCAGAACGAGCGTNGTTCGCAGAATGGATCTCCCACGCGACGGAGTTCTTCCGCGGCAGGGTGCTCTTGACCTTGCCGCTCACGGTCGGGGGGATGAACGGCGTGCCCTTGAAGATGATGCGCGGCGAAACCTTTTTGCCGTCCGCCATGACAGCCAGAACGAGCGTGAAGCGTTCCTTCTCTTCGCCTAAGGGGAGGGGGAAAAAATCAACGCGAGGGGAGGNTTCTGCGAGGACAGCGGTGTGTGGTTGATACAATGGATGCAAACGGTACCGGACGTTTCGAGAACTAAGTTGGTTGATAGTTTGGATGCAATGACAAAGGAAGTATAGAATAATCTCGCAGAAAAAGGTAGCAACCCCCCTGTGTCTACCGATAGAGCTACATCGCACGGTGTACCGGCACGCAAAAAAAAACATGTGTCTTAAAAAATTGTCCAACGACAAAAAATCCGCACACCACACAAAATTTTGACAAAAATATTAGCTCGCCCTCACCTCCTGTGCTGATGCGAGCATCCTTCGCACCGGTCTTCTCCAGAGTGGTCTCCACCGGCATCTCGTGCTGGACTGGCGTCTGGTCCATGTTGCCGAGTTCCTCGAAAACCTCCGCCTCCACAGACGCCAGCTGCTCGGAAGTCAGATCCTCCCCTTTGATGGGGCTCTCGTCAGGTGCCGGCGGGTGGCGCCGAGCGTAGATCTCACCGGCGCGCTTTACGAGAGCCTCGCGCAGCTTCATCACCGTCGCCCACGCCATACCCTCGTACCCCTTCGGCAGTTTCTGGCCCACGCTGGTACGCCGGCGGATGCTGAACCCATTCCGCTTGCGGAACCGTTGGTACCAGGAGTTGAATTTGACCTTGAAAGCCAGCGCCTCCTCCGGTTTCGCGTTCGTCGACATCCCGCCAAGGGCGTCAGGCTTCAGCTCGAGCAGCTTGTTCATCACCTNACAGCTTCTGGCCCACGCTGGTACGCCGGCGGATGCTGAACCCATTCCGCTTGCGGAACCGTTGGTACCAGGAGTTGAATTTGACCTTGAAAGCCAGCGCCTCCTCCGGTTTCGCGTTCGTCGACATCCCGCCAAGGGCGTCAGGCTTCAGCTCGAGCAGCTTGTTCATCACCTCCCGATTACCACAATCGCGGTGCTGCTTGCGCTGCTCGTTCATGTAGTCCACAAGGGCTTGTTCGGCGTCGACTGTCGAAGCTTTCCCTCCGCTGTGAACCTGCTTGGCCTTCGAAAGCTTCGGGTTGGCGCTGACCTTCTCCCTGAGCTGCTCCTCCTGCTTCAGCCACTCGATGATACGCTTCCAAGGCACCTGGAGAACAATAGCCGCGCCGTTGTTTCCCACCGGTTGACCGTCGCACGGGCAGATCTTCCGTGTGTAGGTCGCCGCGTTCAGTTTGAACCGGATGGGGTAGCTCCCTTTCCCTTCCACTGCTCCTGACCGCTCGATCGGGAAGTTGGGCTCCGGGTACGCCCGTTTGCCGTTGCTGTTTTTGACGGGGTCGTTGGCGGCTAGCATCTCATCGATAGCCTCGCCGGTTGCCTTCGGGTCCGCAGCGGCAGCTCCCTGATCCGCAGAGGACAGACCGCCAGCACTTGCGTGTGAGGCCTGTGAGGCCTGTGAGGCGTCGGCAGGTCCCGCGCTTGCACCCTCCGACATCGTGGCCGCGCGTTGCGCGTGGTCGAGCCCGCACCTCCGTCCCGGGTATTTTCCCGATTTTCCGCCTGTATTTCTCCGCCACAGAACTGTTGTGGTGGCAATTCCCCGAGACTCGTTTGTGTGTGCAGCTACTAGCTCGTCTGTTGGTTGTGATGTGATCGTGTTGCAGCAATATCATACACGCGAAGTGCTGCTATCCCCTGTGGTTTTCAATGTTAGGATCGCACATATCGGGGTCTTGGCACAGGGGTGAGCGTTGTTTCTAAGAACCTAAATGTTTACTGCATTCCCGCAGAGGTATCGCGAACTTGGCACATATCGGGGTCTTGGCACAGGGGTGAGCGTTGTTTCTAAGAACCTAAATGTTTACTGCATTCCCGCAGAGGTATCGCGAACTTGGCACATATCGGGGTCTTGGCACAGGGGTGAGCGTTGTTTCTAAGAACCTAAATGTTTACTGCATTCCCGCAGAGGTATCGCGAACTTGGCACATATCGGGGTCTTCGCACACCTGTGCGAAAAAAGTCTAAAGTTCGAAACATTCAAAAAAGCGACCGCACAGTGTGCCAAGACCCCGATGATCACGATATCTCGAACTGGTAACATAGGTTACACAGTGTATCGCATCCCGTCGGGCCGAAGTACAAAGACTATTGTAGATAGGTGTTCTGCAACGCATGTAAGAAACAGCAGCGACGGTGCCGAAAATGCCGGCGTTGGAACCGCCTAGTCGAGATCTTTCCGACAACGTACCATTTTATTCTGGCATCCTCTTCGTCGTTGAGTAACCCAGCTTATAAGTTGGCTTAGGGGTATGCAGGCAGCCTGCGTAATCCGGGGATTGCATGCGTAGTGCATCCCCGAAACTGGATTTAAAAAAATAACAAACAAAAACAAAAAGGGCGCCGGGGGGGACGCATTGCTTCCTCTCAAAAATCCAGGAAACGCTTGCATATCCAAGTTTTTCAAAGTCAAACTGCAGTACGAAACTACCATCGCAAATTAACCGTCCGCAGCGGTCGCTCGTGTACAATGCTAGTATCTGAGATTGCAGTCTTTGCGATACACAACATATCAGCGGTATGCGATTTTCCAAACGATCCTTCCATCATCCAGATCGGTGAATTACAAAAGGAATTTTAAGCTGCTAGGCGGTCCGATTGAAACGCTTAAGCACACAGCAGCAACGGCGACTCAGCGTCTATGTGAGAGTGGGGGGCCGCGAACTTCAGCACAGCTCTTCCCTCAAATGTCCTAGTCGTCAACATAGTCGATTTGTATGCCTGGGGACATGTATATGTACAGTAGGTCTAGCCATAACGGAAGGTGCTTGAAGCGTTTCCAAATCGGACCGCACGACAGCTTCGAAAATCCTTGTCATAGCTCACCGATCTCGATGATTGAAAGATCGTTTGGAATACCGCGGATCGCTAGTCTGTAAAGTATCGCATCGCAAGGGCTACAATCTCAGACACTAACATTTTACACAAGCGACCGCTGCGGACGGTTAATTTGCGATGGTAGTTTTGTAGTTTCGTACTTGAGTTCGACTTTGGAAAACTGAGACATGCAGGCGTTCTCCCCCCGCGCCCTCACCCTCCTACTAGAAGCTCAAATGGGACACTTTGGGGACACAGCTCCCAAACGCCTTATTCACCGCACCGTGGTCGTCACTATGCTCTGCTGCGTGAAACGTGCGTGGGAAACATTGGCCTAGCATCTAGCAGCTTGTTTGAGGTGGTACGCTGTGTGATATTCTGCTGTGTGATGCCTGTGTGCCTCTCCTGGGCCTCTGACTTGTTGTACACAATTTTCGAAGCCGCAGGTCCCCTTGTTGGGAAAACTGTACATACGTCGCCTGCGTCGCGTGGTCTGGAAAATTTGCTGACTTGGCTTCAGTTAAAGGAAGTGTCCCCAGTGCATTTGAGGGCACATCCCATTCTGAAGCCAAGTCAGCCTTCGGCCCTCGGGACTTACAGCCTCTCCCAATTAGCGGACGCGATTTTTTCTGGACCCATAAACCTGAACTAACTGGGCACAGCAGTATGAGGGTTTAAATACACACAACCACACTGACAGTCTAGGGCGGTCGATGTTACATACTTCGAAGTGAAAGAAAAGACACACACACATCTATGCCGTTGACAGACGAAACATTCCATGATGCCATAATCGATGTCCACGTTGAAAGGAATGATTATTCGAGCGAAGCGAGATTTCTAGTCTCGCCTGAGGTCTCGCCGCGACATAGGGCTCCAACCAGAAAAAAGTTTGTACAGGCTGTTCGCTTTATCTAGGTTTTAGACTATTAGTCCGCATACCGTCCCTTTTATTTTTCGGAGCACACAGCGGATTGCACTCTGTACAACAGAGAACACAGGCACGCGAGCGACACCACACAGCAGACAACACAAGCGGGCGACAGACACGCACAGCGGGCGATAGCATCTGAGCCCGATACCGCTGGACTCTATGTGGTGTGAGGCTGTTGCTGTCGCCCATTTCTCCTGTTGCCTCGCGTTCAACTGCCAGCATCATAAGCACAGCACAACATCAGGTCTCGACACCTAGGACGACGATCGCCATCACACCACTTCGAGCGTGTGCTCCATTGTGGTTTCTCTGGGCGTGACAGTTGTGTTGTGTGTGGGTGCTGTATGTGGCGAGAGCACTGTGGCGATGGCTTGGCGCTTTCGCCTGGTGATGCCGACTGCTGTGTCCGGCCGGGCCAAAAAAGATAAAATTGATCGGATTCCACGCCGCCATGAAGCTCTTCCCACATACAGCACCCATGCCCAACACAATTGTCACGCCCCTAGATATCGCAATGGAGCACACGCTCGAATTGTTGCCATGACGATTGGTGCGCTAGGTGACGATAACTGACTTGTGTCTTGCTGTTTCGGTGGCACAGCTAGTGCCGGACAGCACCGAAAGAAAAAAAGAACAGACGGTTCACCAACAGTATCGGGGGGTGGGTGCATATAACCACAAAATCGGGATGTGGACGGGCGGGGGGGTAGGAACCGGCAGGTGAAAACCTCGCATTCGTTACCGCACAACAACAGCTCTCACCAGAGCACACTGGGTGTAGTGTCAAGTGTGTGGCGTTCGCACTCTGTCTCCGCCCGTGGACGCGCACGTCTGACGACAGTTAACCATATATGACGCAAGGTAACACACCCCCTGGACCGATTTTCAAAGCTCGATTACTCCACGACGAAGACGATGCATAAACGAAACGATGCATTTTCGAAAAGCTGTCGACGAGACGGTTTCAACGCGGCCGTTTTCGGCGCTGTGACTGTTCCTGCTGTTGAGAAATCGAGCTTCGAAAATTGGTCAAGGGGGTGGGTTATCTCGTGTCATATATGGTACATCTATTAGCTGTCGCTCGTTGGGGCGACAGCTATCCTATCTTCCTCTCTGCGTCGGCAACATAGACTATGTCATCTCGACACCCCAGTACACAAGAAACGACCGGTAGCTTGAATACGACCGGTGGGTATTCATTTTTGAGAGGCGAGCGCTGCGTACTGCTGTAGACTATTGCTGTAGAATATGCAGCTGGGTATTCGCGTGTTCAACGGTATGCGCACCTATACCTCATGCTGACCAGAGCCAGAGATGAGACAACAGATCGACGGACCGGAGAATTCCCGAATCCTAGGCACGCGGCTTCACACTACTGCAGCACTACTCTTGGATGATAGCAGAGCGCAGAGAGAACATTCCTCCCTCAGGTTTTGCTGTTCAGAGAGGACATAAGTACTGCCCAGGGTGACAGATATAACCACAAGCCGTTGGACATACCTACAGGGCTGCAGGAGCTGCTATCGGCACTGGATCCACCACCGCAGCAGAGAGCACCACCAGAAGGGCTGGCCTGCTGCTGGTGTTGTCGGGGCCCCAGGCGTGTCCGTATCGTCCCATCTGACGCTGTCGTCGTAGTTGAGGCATCGATAGCAGCCGAGGCATTGCCGCAGCCGCCACCCCCGCCTACTGGTGTCACTGGAAGAGCTTGCAGGCCAACAGCGCTCTCCTCCACCGTGATGATCTCATCCCCGTCACTCCCGTTTGTCAGCCCTTCCTGTTGGATGGGTGGAGGTGGAAGTTCCCCCAAGGCGCCTTCGGCAGTGGACATGGTGAGATGTACATTTGGTGTGTGCCCTGGTTGAGGGTGTGGTCTCTCTCGCGCCCAGAGTCTCGATGGATGGGACAAAAAGTGGACTGGCCCACTGGCCCACCCCCGCGATGAAGTTCCGGCTGAAGTTCCCATCAAAGGTATATACCTTTGGTTCCCATGACAGTGTCAGAGCCTCCTGCGATTCAGCATGCCAGACCCTCGGCGAGAATTTGCCAGTTGTTGTTGTTGTTGTTGTTGTCTTCACATTAAAAACCGTTCCGATCTCTCTCTACCCAGTACCTTCGTATGTCCGTACTGATACAACACTCGACGCGGTCGATTCCCGTGGTCGCAGGCTAACTTACCCTAAAAAGGTACACTCAAAAATAATGGCCCCGAGGGGTCCGCAAGTCAACAGATATCAGTACTGGCAGAGAAAAACCGGACCGCCAACGCCTATATATTAATAAAATATATAGGATTTAGACTGGGTGCCGGGAAGTGTAATTCCGCCGCTCATTTGCTGGGGAGTTATGGAATCTATGAGGCCTTGGATTTTGAGCCAAAAGCAGGGGATGGAGGCCCAATGTCCTTGTAACGGCCGTTTATTTTTTGCGAACCAAACCAGAAGCAGCAGCAGCGGCGGCTACTACAGAGGCTGTGCAGCAGCTAGGAGCAGCAACAGTAGTGCAGCAACACATGTAGTAGCAACAACAGTGCAGCAGCAGCATTGTAGCAGCAGCAGTGCAGCAGGAATACAGCAGCGGAAGAGCAGCCCCTGCTGTAATGGCTGTTGTGCGCCAAGAAGATAGGGGCTCCGTCGTGGTGCGGTGCAGCTGGCCAGCTAGCTGCCGCTGCTGCTGGCTGGGCTGGCTCCTGGACGGATCGTCGGACGCAGTGGGAAGGGGGTGTCAAGGCCGAGGCTCAGGAGGAGACATACCGACCACCTGCCTTAAATTGTGGGCCGTGAGTTACAAATGAGCTGAGAGGTAGAGCAAGGCAGAGAAGCACTCCTTGCGCAATACCCCGAGCCAAAATTACCCGCCGAGAGCTGAACCCCGTCAAACAAAGCACTTCGTTGTACACACACGCACACGCGCGTAGACACCTTGCTAACCTTGCTTAGCCTTCGTTGCCGGCTTGCTTACCTCCTCGACCTTCTGCAGAGACAAATAATGTACCGAACGTTGTTCCCCACTCGCCAAGGGCCAAACACACAGCAAATCACAACGATCGTTGTTGGCGCCACGCTGTGCACGTCTCTTGGACGGGCATCCATCTGTGTCCCAAAGGTAGGTGTGTCGCAGTGCCCTCCCGCTGTCTTGTCACACAGTCCCCCTCTGACCACTTTCCTGTCGGTGTGCCGTGCCTCCCAACCTCTTCAATATTGTTTAATTTTCTTCTTCCCTCACGCATGGTAAGCAGCTGCTAGCAGCGTCCAGGAAATAATAATAATTAATGCGTACTGCAAACAATTAGCGTGCGCGGCAGAACGGTGATTCCCGGCGCCGGGGAGCGTTACCCAGGCATTGGTCGCGCGCATTGCACCATTTTGGCGTGAATTTTGGCAAGGAAAAACCTTGTCGCGTGTTCTATGCATGCATACAGATACACCTTCCCAAAATAAGAGAAGTGCACCTCGCTCTTCTCCACAAAGAAGAAGCGACCGGTGCAACATGATTGTTTCGCGATGGAACGATATATGGGATGGTACGGGGGGGTATCCTTTCCGGGTATTCGGACGCTGTTGCGCCGTAGCGGTGATTCAAAACGCTGTAAATGGTGGATGGATGCAGTGCGTGATCAACAGCATGGGTCGGGAGCATGTGGTGAGTCATGCATACCAGAAACGTCTTCTTTAGTCGTCGTTTCCCCTCATCCTGGCGGCCGAAAGAGTAGGTACACGGCCCTGTTTGAGGTGTTTCAGCACACGAAAACACGACAGAGCGCACAAAAACCATGAGGATCATGCCTGGCATGAATAAACAAAGCTGACTGACCCTGGCAGTAGGGGGTGGGTGTCAATTGGGCATGCCTTCGTGCGAGAACCGTGTGTTGGGATTGATAGCCCCGGCCTTACAAAAGTGGGTGAGCCGACCCAGAGCCGAAACCGCCAGAAAGCGCTCACAGCTCCGGGCAAGTCGGGAATTTTGGTGTTGATGAGCTCCATATGGGTCCTGGACAAGTCGTGAGAGACTCAAACCGGGGCCGGAGTGTCGTTGTGTGCCCATCCTTCGCCCCCGACAACAAACAGGAATGCAAATGCAATTTTTACTTGTTTCAAACTACGCCCGGTGGCGTGCCTTTAGCGCCCTGAAGCAGGCAATGCTTGCCATCACCGTACTACGAGCAACGCTACTTTCGTGCTCATGATGCTGGCGGGCAACTTCCGACAGAAAGAGGCGTGTGCCTTGCTGTTTTGTTGAGAGGACGTGAGTGTTGTGAGAACGGTGAAACATTCACGCGAATATTGGGCCTTAGAACGGGGCTGGCTTCGGAGGGTGCCGTGCGAGCATTTCGACAAAGTTGAATCGAAGGTTTACATGGGCGGCCAAAAGCAGCGGTCCACATGGTGTTCACACAACACCGCTGGCAACAGTAGCAAGTTGTCAGCAGGACGTTTACGTTTGCATGTCCTCCAACACAACGTGTGCGTCATTTCTCGCTCGTGAGCGCCTTTGGTCAACAATAATGGCACTGCCGTCTTTTTGTTCTCGAGGTGCTAGTTTCAGTGTCCTCCTGAAGCCGGACCCTCTCAACTCAGCGCGTTGAAACTCGAATTCTAGCGCGCTAAACACACCTGGTGTGTCCATACTCGGCAGAGGGCACTATCGTCCTTCTTTCTTTATTTGTTGCACATGTTGTATGGGAGCTTGTCTCGGGCTGCCTCGGTCGAAAGGGCGTGTAGTCTGTCGCAAACAGCCACACAATGGAAAACCCTTCAAGCCTATCTCGCCTCGGCGAAACACATTTTCATACCTGGGTAAGCTAACCCCAAGAGAATAAAGAACGGGATAAACCATGCACACACAGGACACGAACCCCTCTCTGAGCCTGCGCCCACTGTAGCCCCATAAAGCGTGCCCGGTTCTACCTTGACCCCCAAATACATCACGTGTTTCCGTAAGGATACGCAAAACTCAAAGCGTCAAAACGAAGCTGAGACAAACAAGGTCAAGCCGCCCAAAGCAGTCAAACACGCGCACCAACGGCTTGTCGCAGAAACACCTGCCGCATGTCCAGAGTGCAGCCTGGCACCCCGACATACTCGGTGAGGCGTGGCCGTCGACTCTGCTCAAGAGGGCGTCTAGTAGCTGCCTGTTGTACTTCCTATTCTGAAGCTCGTTGATGACACTGAGCGAGTACGTGAAATTGGGAAAGGTCATGTTGTTGATAGACCGCAAGTACATGACCTTAACCCCATGATCGGACTCGTGGCGGGTGAGATTAACCCCACCGATATCTTTACACGTCGTCAAGCCACTGTACAGCTTCCTACAATCCGGCCCGTGGTTGTTCTCGTGGTGCCCATCAGGCCCGATGCGCATCTCCCTCTTGATAGGGTCCCCCTCGAAGTTTTTGTACCTCGTATCGTGGAAAATTGCATCGTAGCCAACCACCTTGCCTTCCTCCGTCGTGGTTGCGTGCGGTGCTGCGTTCCGCGCCAGGCTGAGCTCCAGCTCTTTGAGTGCGTAAACATCCCGCCCAAATCCAATTCCTCCACGCACGGCGATCGCTTGCATAAAAACACGAAACGCGAAAAACGGACGCAGGCATACCAACATGAAACACCGGCGTCGAATTGTGCAGAGAGCGGGCCCCGCCCTTGAAACGTAAAGTCAACCTGCCGGTCGTTGAGAATTTCGCCTACTCGTGTCGGTGCTCATAAATCAATACAACCCACCCATACCAGAGAAATGGACCCCCATCACCAGGCGGCGACTGGACAACAGGCAACTCACACGAGCAACTTTCGTGCAGTGCACGTCGTGAGTGCATACCCGAGAACTCAAACAAACAGAGAACGGCATCAATGCGCCGATACACGATATGCACCGAAAGCATGGAGCACCCGAACGTCACCCACCTCTGCACACCGAGCAGCGAGAGCTCCGACTCAAAGGAATATCGTCGTACGTGTTCAACCTTTTGTACTAAGGTGAGCGGTGGTGGGCAGCAAATGAATACCTCCCGCCCGCTAGCACCTTCACCACCAACATCACCAAATCGGCGCACCTGCTCTCTCTCTCACTTCTGCAGTCAAAGGCTTGAGGCAATCCACGACGAAGTCCACCTTGGCCTGCAGACAAGCACGGGCGCAGGGATATGGCGTCGCGTCGAAACATGTGCGACCGATGTAGACGCAGATTTGGCCATGCAGGTTAATAGGGCTTTTCTAACGTTGGGAAGGGGTTAGTCAGCAAGTCGGGATGAAGCAACAGCGTGGTATTCAATTTTTGCCTCCGCCGGGCTGTCCAAGCGCATGTCGCCGTGTAATGCCAAGCCTTTACAGCGGGGTTGTAAGTGCACACAGGTTGGGTTTCACCTCGCACATCAAACTCAAAGCGGACCACCAAAACAAGCCGCGACAGCTGAGGCTTTTCTTCTCTTGCTTTACGCCACTTCAGCTGCGACTTTTCCGACTTTTTTTGTCTAGGGCGGAGTGTGCTCAATGCTTGCTTACCTTAGTGAATTGACTACTGACAATGCACCCCTTTCGAGACGGAGCACCGTCAACAGCTCACCAAACAAGTGCAAATTATTCTATTCTGGAAACTTTTGAGCGCATAACTAGTTGCTCTCGAGGGGCGGGAGATACGAAACACATGAACCCGGCCAAAAGGCAGGTCCAATTTTCTCACCTTGGCGTATCTACGCAATCCCGTCTCCAGTTCCCCCTCAGAGATGCAGGAGGCATGGAGCCACGATGGCAACGCGGACACTCTGCTCGCTCGCCTTGATCCCGATAACCCCACGAGGACCCCCAGTAGGAAACCCGCTGCATCACCGTGGGCGAAGCCGCTGCCCTCGTCGCCCCCCGATGGTGCGTGCGCAACCCATCCCGCAGCTTCTCCCACAGCCCCTCCCGCTGCCCCTCCCGTTGCGTCTCCTGCTGCTTTTCGGTGCCAGTAGTAGGTGAAGACGAGCACTTCGAAGAGGGACAGCACACGCACCCCATCTCGGTGCAGGGCATCAAGCGCTCTCGTCGCTGTTAGCTTGCTTTGCCCTCCGACAACCTTGGAAAACTTCGCTGCCCAAAACAGCGCTTCGTCGGAGTCAACCTCGCTTTGGAGACCAGGCCGCGGGCCCGCCGTCTCGATGACGGCGTACATGTCCTCGCGGTCGGTGGTCCTCGGGAGATCTTGAAACGTGCGAGCCGCTGTTTCCCGCGTGGCACTGTTGCGGTTGTTCCCAACGTGTACCAGCTCGGGGAACACCACATTCCCTTCGCCGTCCCGCTGCAGCACCCCGGTCTTATCCTTCAGGAGCGCAGGGCAATACTTTTCAAGCTCCTTCACCAACTTGCACGCGGCGTCGTACGACAGGAGGTACGGTTTCACCTACCAAGTAGAAGGCGTTCAGAGGCAACCTAATTGGAGATGCGATCAGTCGGCGTCAGCACTAACACTCCGCACACCACCTGCCACCCTCACGATGTTTTTACGCGCCATCCTACCACTGCCCGTTTGGTACCGACGCTCGCACTGTGCAACACGGAAGAGGTCCACTCCAGCAGCCACACAATGATCCTCGGGGTTGCTTGCTTCTAGTTATGCATACTAATAATTTCTTCAACATTCGTGATTGACATGGTTCGCAATCGACAACCCAACGATCCCTATCGATGCAAACCTTTCTATACAAACGCAGCCGAGTGACACGGGCGACCTCGAGGGAACAGTCACCAGTTACTCGTGCAACAAGAATCACGGAAGTGATTGGCTACTGAACTTTCAGACCCCGTGGCTCAAAAACTACACAACATGAACCATGAATGTTCTCAAGGCGTGCCGAAGAAATCGATCATGCTCCGACACATGCTCAAGTTATCTCGCTCACGTATCGCTGAAGCATTACCATTCTCACCCTAACACCGCCTTTTATGGCTGCAGAATGTTGCAAAGAAGTTTAAAGTTCTGCGACACTTCTTGCAACTTTCCTCATGTACGCTCAGTATGGGAGGAGCAAAAAGTTGTGCAAAAACTGTTGCAACTTTTTATCGGGAGCAAAAAGTTGCAATCTGGAGAAAAAATTCGGCAAATTTTTCGCGAAGGGTCCAACAAAAGTTGCACGGCGCAACTTCCGGCAATCCACGCCAAGCTGCTAAAGCGGTACCACACACGTAGACCCTCTCCAGCTTCGATTGCGGGAAGGCAGTTATCACCGATATCTCGACGACAACTGAACGACTTGCCTCATGAATGGTATCTGGAAGGAGGTGATGCCATGAGCTGATGGGCAATGCCAAGTTTGGCGCCGTGAGGTGCCGAATGCGCCAGGAAATGTGGTTGTGCTGTGCACGACCGTCAACGGCCGCGAGCGGCTAGTTCAACTTCGGGGGTTTTGACCGCCACGGGTTTGGATATCCACCGATAATTTTCCGAAGGAGGAAGCAACAGCAATAACAAGGCCACTCGGCGGGAGGTAGCTCTCTGCTTCATCTTTCATGCCCAAGTTTTGGTGCCGTGGGGTTTCTTTCGTGCGCGTCGGAAAAAAAGTATTGAGTGACACAAAAATACCCACGTCAGAAAGCCGTTGGTTCAAGTTCGCGAGGATTGTGTGCTCATGGTTTTGTTTTCCGGCGATAACTTTTCGAAGGAGGAGACAGCAGCAACAGCAATGCCACGCCGAGGGGGCTAACCCTCCTCAGCTTCTTTCTGGTACGAGAATAGATGCCTTGGGTTATCGTGAGTGTGGATAAAAAAGGCTTTGCATCTACCCTCTCCCGAACGCTCTGGCCGGTTCTTTCGCGGTGTGATGCGAAAGGCGTGTGCCTGCTTCTTGTCGTTGCTAAAAAAAAAAACACACCCGCATTCCGCCAGTCCCGTGCACAAAACTTTCTTCATCCCATAACGAGCGTGCACCAAAAGTTCCATTGACAAAAGTTCCCAGCCACAATTTTCACTCGAACTTAAACTTTTCTCGCTACTTCCTGCAAAAGAGAGATATACAATTTGCCCACCTTCATCCACCTCATGAAGTCAACTACGTCGTTTGGACTTTCGGCTGTGGGCAGCACCTTCCACGCCACCATAACGCCTGCCGGGGTGAAGACGCACACCATGCCCGCGGTCGCAACCCCCCCTCGACCGCCAAGGAACTGCTTGGAGCAGTCGCCGTCATGGAACAGCGGGCGAAACTTTGTGATGTAGTCCTCTTTCCTCGATAGCCTTGACCACAGATATAAGAGCATCAACAAGGCGAAATAGGATGACCGGAATATCAGAATCCTCCCAGAAAACAGCGAGGCGAGACGCATGTACGTTAACCATGCATGTTGACTGCGAATTTAGTGCCAGACGACAGGACGCACGTGTTGGGAAAAACATCAATTGGGTAAGTGTGTAGCACGCCCGGGAGAGAGGCTGACCGGGGTTCGTACAACATGAAAACGTTCGTACAACATGAAAACTAGGTTAGGGGTAACCTGGTCCCTCCGACTCTACGGCAGTCACCAACCTAACAGCAATGGGGAGTATGGGCCCGCCTCGCGTGGGAACATTAGCCGCACCCGCTCGCGCTCAAGGTGCCGAAGACGACCTTGTGCAGCTTCTTGAGGTCCTCGGCCGGCATCTCGTCGACCAGGTTGATACCCCCGCCTTCCTTCTCCAACGCCCCCAAGAGGTCCGCGCGGTTGGGTGGCACGAACGTGTACACCTATTTCGGGGCCACCGCGCGATCCGTCTTGATCCCCCTCTCGGCACGCCGGTTGTCGGGCGACACCCAGGCGGGTGTTCTGCCGACGGCCTCCAGGTCTCCCAAGACGAACTGAACGCGCTCGGTGAAAAACACCGGCGACACCAAACTCAACTTGAGGCACAACATCGACATGTCGAAGTCGAGAGTAGTTTCGGGTCTCGTCTTGTTCGCCAGCGCTTTGGTCAACGTGTTCACCGACATCTTCACGCAACCGTCCACGGTAAACACCTCCGAGTGCGAGCCCCACTGAAAGCACCGAAACTCAAACGAGAAGTCGATGACGGCTAAAAAGCCGAGGAAGACGTGCGTGAGCGTAACGAAGAACCTGGAGCCTTTATCAGTGATGCTGCGTTTAGCAAGACACACGCAACAGCGGAGGGAAGGGCCGCAAATGCAGTTTCATTAAAGCTAGTTCAACATGGTATCGCCACCTCCCCTTCAGACGACCCATTTTCCATCAAAATGAAAGTCAACACAGAATTTGTCTCAATGGCACGATATGCAGCAGGCAATCATCCGACCTTTACCACACCAAGGTAGAAAGGTGACTTTCACCGTCTACTGTTTCCGTGTTTACCATCTGTTGCAACAAAGGTATTATGGGAGTTTCTCCCGTGCACCTCCCTGCCTCGACCATGGGGACGGTCAGAGGAGGAGTCCTGCGTCCGTTTCCTGTGGGTCCCAGAAATAGCTCAACGCTATGACATTGAAACGTAAAAAAAAACGCATGTCCCAAGGCGACTTTGCAAACCCCGCAAGCTCCCACATTACAATCACTTGTCGAACACGCGTATCGCATACACAGGGCATTCTTACCAATCCCACACAGCATCATACCTCGCAGCGAGATCCGGGTTTTCCGACAGCCAACCGATGTTTGTCGTCAGAGGCTCCAAGTGCGAGAAGAAAAAGGACTGGATCGTTGTCCCTCTGATGAACTGCCCGAGACACTTATACAGAAGGGAGAGATCCACCAGAAAGTACTTGTTGTAGTTGAACACGGACGTCTTCCGCCAGTTGTCGCTTGCCCAAGCGCACGCCCCACATGCGCCGCACTTCCGGCGCTCTACCTGCACGCTCACAATTCGCGGCGCCTGCGATGTATCACGTGGTCCGTTGACAGGGCAAAGGGTGATGTCGTACAGGGAGGAATTACATTGGGCAAACGACGCAACAGGGTATACCCTGGTCGAACCACGACACACACGGTCAACTTTCTTTTTGGCGCATGGGCGTGGTGTTTTGTGGAGTATGATGGGACTGTAATAGGTGCGAGCAAAGGTTGCAAGCGCGCGCACGCCGCGGCGCAGCCGCGGCCTAGCCGTACCCCTGCCTTCAAATGTAATACGTCTCCAACGACCTGTCACGAAGGGCATTCCCTAGCCCCCCCCCGATGGATAGTCCGTTACGGTTTGGGTAAGGGTTAGGATATCTAGGGAAATTACAGTCAGACTTGAGCCAAACCTTTCGTAGGAAGAGTTGGAGGAGTTTTAATTTCCTGCAGTTTCCCCCCTGATCAGGGCACAGGGCCCGAAAATCAGGGTACAATTTGCAAAGAACGACGCTGTAGGTTTCATGTACTCTGGGCGTTTCGACCGAATCAGGGTGAAATGTGACGCTGGCCAATCAGCTACGCCTGCTTAATGTGTCGCGGCTCTACCAGGGTAACCCTGTTGTGACGTTGGCTCAATGACAAAGTCTCCGACTGATACGATAACGTCCTGCGCAAATATTACTACGGGGCCTTCACCCTTTGCCTATGTTCAACAATGCGTCGAGCACACGCAATCGACCATCTCAGGTTCAGCACGTGAAGCGCTCATGACATAACTTTCAAGAAACCAGAGCAACAACAGAGGCCACGCCTCACCTCCATCACAAGCGTCGCAATGACGTCGGCCTCGGGAAGGAGCTCACCCCCGCAGGTGCACTTCGTTTGAGAGACCATCAACCTTCTCGCCGGTGTCTCCGAGAGTCGCGCAAGTCCGGACGGAGCGGTAGGTGGAAGAGCTAACCGCCGCATGTAGGTAAGCATGTCCGCCAGTTTTGAGCAGTATGATTCAGCGTCGCTGTCGAGGAACACCTGTGGAGTACGCGGCAACGCAGAGCCACCCGAAGAAGCATCCTCTGCTGCTCCACCCTCTCCGGTACTCGATGCCATCGAATCCAACCCAATGCGGGAAAAGACAGCAACGACCAAGGTGTGCGCGNTCAACCTTCTCGCCGGTGTCTCCGAGAGTCGCGCAAGTCCGGACGGAGCGGTAGGTGGAAGAGCTAACCGCCGCATGTAGGTAAGCATGTCCGCCAGTTTTGAGCAGTATGATTCAGCGTCGCTGTCGAGGAACACCTGTGGAGTACGCGGCAACGCAGAGCCACCCGAAGAAGCATCCTCTGCTGCTCCACCCTCTCCGGTACTCGATGCCATCGAATCCAACCCAATGCGGGAAAAGACAGCAACGACCAAGGTGTGCGCGCACCTTGCGCGTTTCTTGTTCTTGTTTTCCGTGCAGGCCTCTCCCTTTACGGCCTGGGCGGGGAGGGTGCATGACGGAATCAACGAGAAAATAAGTAGTCGATCTTTGGTCTGCGGCCTTCCATGCAAGATGTTGGTGTTGGGACGAAGTACCTCAGTCCCAACCCATGCAAATACTACAGGAAATTTCAAACAGGGTCACCAGCAAGACCTTGTGCCACAGCAGTACCGCTTTAGAACCGATTTACATGCTTGTCAAAGGGAAGGGCGAGATGTGCTTCTGGTATCCTGCTGACACAATCGCATAACTTGCGGAGAACTCGCAGAACTTCTCCAAAACTAGGGCAGCCCTGCCGTGTTTTACATTTGTCTTCACTGATATCCAACACCAAAGACAGTACTTGCTCACCCGCCGAGCCTCATGAGACAGAACCCATGTTGTGCACCATACATCGTTTCGCTGGCGTTCGATGGCTAAGATAAGTTATACAACACCTGCACGCACTTGCATATTCTCGTAGCCCCTACCTTGCACATGAAGTGCCTCGAAGATGACATCCTCCGAGACGCCTCCCCTTCTGAAACTTGGTCGAACTTAACAGAACCCCAGTCGAGCTCCGTCGTTCGACTCCGCATGTCGAGCACCATGTACTGGTGGCGTTCCACCTCCACGACCGGCCACACCCCACTTCGCTCTGCTCCTTCCACTATGGACATGACGTCGTTGCATTCTTCGGCCGTCAAGTGACTACCCAACTTCGCTGCTGTCACAAGCTCCTTCGCTGCGGCGTAGTCTGTACTTGCGACCCCACCTAGCACGCTGGTTGCTCTCTTCATCGTCTTTGCCGCCATATGCTCTAGCGCCAAGGCGGCGTGCTGACACAGGCCTCCGACGGCGCTGGCCACTCCGCCGTGACTCCCCACCGTTCGTTGTTGTGATACGAAACCCGCCGTTGCCCTTCGAGGGAAATATATATAAACGAGAACCGACGTGGCATGCACAGGTGGCGATAGGCGCAGTCGGCAATAATATTGATCCGCCTTCGACGAAGCGTGTTGGATGCCGACGGTAGTTCAGAATCCATACTTCATACCAGGCCACACAAAGTCTGCGTTCTGGAGATGGCATCACGTGTCTCTACAAGCCCAACGCCATATTTCAACAGTTAGCGGCGAAACACGCTGGGGCAGGAAACAAGGTGCCAGGGTCGAACAGCACGACCCTTTGTCTCACCCTTGACATTCTGTCCTCGAGCAGCTGGAAGTTTTGCGTTGCCGGTTCACGCAGGTTGCAACATACACTCCAGCATTCCCGGCTCGAACCGCAACTGTCGTGCTCTCGTCGCCGGTGCGCCACGGCAACTGGTACACTTTCCCCCGCCGCGGCGGCGGCGGCCCACCACTGCCGCGCCCTCGTCCTTGCCCACTCCGACCTCCGAGTCCTCGTCCTTGCCCACTCCCTCGTCCCGCGCCTCCACGCCCCCCCGCCCCCCCCGCCTCGAGATCCTGCCTGGACAAGCTTGCGCCTGCTGGCGTTACAGCTGGACCCGTCCGGCGGAGAAAAAAACAAAGGCGTGGCGACGGTGAGGACGAGGGTTATAACAAAGCCGAGGTACACGCATCGGTGCGGTCTGCTCTCACAAATTCAAAGCAAATCGACGGGCAGAGCTTGCTGTCTTGCTTTCTTAGAAATACATAGCAAAAAAGGGGCTCGCTTCCAGGATCGCCGTATACATACCGGAGACGACACAAGGTAACACACCCCGGTGATAACATTTTGGGCTAAAAAATATTATCACCGGGTGTGGTATCCTGTGGGGGGTGTGGTATCTTATGTAGCCCGGGTGATACAGTGCAGCTCGCTTGGGTGTGATAAATCAGGGGTGTGATAGCACGACGCACAGGGTGTGTTTGGGGTGAGATAAATGAGGGGGTAAGGGAGTATGCTAGCACGTCCGAATACCCACAGGGTGTGTTTTGGGTGTGATGATAAGGGGGTGTGATAAAAAAGTGTTCTACACTTCTCGTAGAGTTGAACCGCTGCTGCCGCACACTTGGTTGGTATTGCGGGGGTGTGATAGCAATGCCTGTACGAACACCCTCATGGCTTGTGGTTCTTCGGCGGAATGAAGTAAAACAAAGGAGCTCAACGTAGGTGACGAAACTCCTGAGCACATGAATCGGCGGCCACAGAGTGCGCCATCTGTCCTGCCCCCTAACACAAAAAAGTAGGCTCCTGCATACCTTGCTATTGGGTACGACCAAAAGAGAGTTACGCAGATGTTGTGTGTGTGAGATACCCACATGCCCAGGCGGCAGATGTTGTATCAACGGTAATAGACGGAGGAGCCTGCGGCATAGCCTCAAGGGGTGTGTTATCTTGTGTAGCCCCGGTGATAAATAGATGGTGTGTCAGAAACGCCGAAAACTATCACTGGGGTGTCGTATTCTGTGGGGGGTGTGGTTTCTTATGTGGGTGTGTTATCTTGTGTCGTCTGTCGTCTACGGTACGCGAAAAGGTTTCGCCGAAATAAATTGTAAGTTGATGTCACCCACAGCAGCGCCAAGACCCTCTAACACAAAAAATCACCACGAACGATGTGCGCAACACATGTGTACATACCAAGTACATGTACACAGGCGATTTTTTTAACCTCTCTCTGGAGACTCTCTCGAGCGTACGCTTGGCAAATAACAACAAACAGAGCGCCGCACAGAGCCGCGGTAGATCTCTGGGAGCTCTGCTGCTCTGTATCATGAAAAGCACCGTTGGTGCCGGGCGTTTCGAGTTTGATCCTGCTCAATTCTCCTGTTCAAATCGGTTACACGAACAGCAGTGTCTCTGAGGATGGTAATCACCTGTTACAGCCACATGCGCTCTTCAAACCCTTGTGGTTCTTGCAGCACCTTGCGTCTACGGGTGCGGAGAGATTGAACACGGAGAAGCACGCTCGGTCTCTTGATTTGTGGATCCATCTTCCGCAGTTGCGGTTATCCTGGCACAGCTTGAATCTTTTGTCTGACCTCGCCTCCGGTAAGTTGCACATCGCACACTGCTGGTTGAAGTTGTTGTACGGTCTCTTCCCCGTCCCCCCGCGCCCTGGCTGCTCCGGGTGCCCTGCCGATGGTGCACGGCCCTGGCCTCCACGGTCGGGTGCATCGCGCCGCCGCCGTTGCGACGCAAAACGTGCATCGGACCGACCACGTCCTGCTTCCGGAGAGGCAGGTAGCCCGCGGCCGGCAGGGCCTGGGCGAGGAAGAATCCGTAACAGTGGGCGCTGTAACGTTGGCGGGACGGTTCGCAATGATGGTACTGGAGGCGTTGCTGCTGGTGCAACTGGGTTAGTTGGCGTTTGATGAGGCCGTGATGCTCCGGATGCTGATGGTGCAGCACCAGCTGTGGTTCCGGTTGCTGCGGCCACGGACAGGGCTCCGGGAAGGAGACCTGCAGCAGCATCACTCCTTCGACCCGCAGGTGGACGCGGTGGTCGCTCGCTCATGGCGGTCCGTGCGGTCGGGTGCGCTGGTGCGTGCGGTTGTGCGGCGGCGGAACTCTCTCTCCGCGTGCTGTGTGCTGTGGTCTGTGGTGGTCTGTGGTGCGCGCGGGTGTACGGCGGCGGAACCGCTCTGCCCGCGTGGTTCTGCCCGCGTGCTGTGGGCCAATGACAAGCTCCCAGATGATTACGATTTCCAGTCTTTGTTTCATATAATATATATAATGCCAGCGTAGACTACTGGAAAAACCGCGTGCCAGTCAGACACGCCTCCAGAACCATAGCCTTACAAAACCTATTTTTAATTTTAACACGTGGGACGGCCTGCTGTACCTCTCGCCACGCAGCACACACATATGTAGCACCAACAGCAGCCGACGGCACACGGGATTGAGTAGTCTACCCCTCCACTGCTGCGCACCGCACCCCACGGGATCGTACCAGCCTCGACGTCGTCAACACAGTGGTACGCTGTAGCGGAGTGTAGCATGCAGGCTCCTGCTGCTGCTGCTGCTGCTGCTCCTGTTGCTGCCGGCGTTGCTCCGGACGGCCTTGGTTTTGAAAGTGAGCCAGGCTCGGGGTTCCCAGCGTTGCTGGCTTCCACCTGGACTAGCGAGGACATCGCGGTAGACGATAACGCACCTGTTGTTGGTGACGCTGGCGAAGGAGGAGCTGCTGACAACACGACCGCGTCGCCTGGCGATAGCGTAGCTCATCACTTCGGAGAAAGTGCAAGAGTTGGCGAAGACTCGACCGCGTCGCCTGCAGCTCCAGCTCCTACTGGTCCAGCCCTGTCGGACAGGTCTCCTGGTACAATAGCGTATCATCAATGATGCATGCGAGGGCACCTTATTGTCCATCCTACTGCGAGCAGGGTGAAGAAAAATAGACTGGCTGGAGAAAACACATGTTCTCGTAAACTCATTTAGACTATACAGCAGTAGACTATTGTAAACACGCTGACCCACACATGACGTCTTTTCATACGGTACACAAAATCCAGGCTTTTTATTACTGCTGTGCTGTTGTAGACTAGACTATTCCGTTTACAGCAAATCGTGGTCGGCCCTTCTGTGGTTGTTACCGTGTGCAGGCGCGATCGACAGGCAGCGGGCCGCGCTATTCGGCTTACAGTTTCCCAACCTCAAAGACCCGGGCGGGGAAGCGACATGGACGAAGACCATCGACATGGTGAAGGCGGAGGTTGGAGACGGCTTCTGCTTGAAGGCCCACAGGGAAACCCGGGCGAGGCTGGACGTTTAGACCTGCTTGAGGTGGTTTGGTGAGAGAGCGCCCCTTTATCTCTTTTACGCGCGTGCTGTATAGACGCTCTTCCACCGCAAAAAAAGCAAGTGCACACCTATGTTTTCGTTTTGAACCAACGAACCATAGCTATCCCATACAAAGCTGTTGTGAGGCTAACATGCGAATACGTGCTGGTTTGATGTCTCCCAGATTTACAAGAATGAACAGGCAGCGGCGGCCGCCGGAAGGCCAAACAGATGGAACTGCATCTACATCCTCTGCGAAAAGTCGGGGAAACCCAACCCCGGCGCACGTAACGCGGATCCAAGCGCTCGCCGCAAGACATCCACGGAGAAGGTCTTTATAATCGCTACAGCATTTTTGCGTGAAGTATTGACCCAATTATGAGAAGCGCTCGCAACCAAGGGCACTCCTGTGCATCGTACCACGGAACTTTCCGTAGCGCGTCAACTGAGGAGTCAACTAAGCAGTCGAGATGGATGGGATGGATGGCCCTTGCTTCTGGTGTTGGGCGTGTTTCTGTCTTTGGCAATAGGCCATGCCACGCACGAACCGTCGTGCGTCGATTGAACATGAGCGTACACCACTACACCACCACTGGTTTGTCCAAATCGCGAAATCCGAAGATGAGCCCCTGGCGCTTTGATTTTCCCTCACCAGTATGAATCATCCCGGAAGGCGAGCGATGCTTCCAAAATCCAAACATTTTGTGTTGTGGTAGGCAGTCCACCTTCAACGTGTGGTCTCCCGCGAGAAAAGCGCCATGAAGGCATGTACTTTCCTCGTATGGTAGCATGTTTCCTGCACCAGGCCTTCCTCATTCACCCGCCAAGGCGTGTTTCTGTGTGGATGTATGTGTGTGTGTTTTTTTGTGTCTGGAACACAAAATAGCCATCGTTGTCGACAATCACAAATCTATTTCTCCCGAACAACACCGCCGTCATTGCTGAGATGTTTCCCGTCCCGTGCGAATCCCAGGCGAACTGCGGTTTTAAGGTGGTGCTGTGGTGGCCTGTAAACGATGAAAGCCCTAAAATTTCAGAGGTATGCCCACTTGCGTTAGCAGAGAGGAGTTGACTCGTCACCCAGTACGGTTGTGTCGGACGTGATGAGACTGACAGCAGCCAGAGCCTATTGCCTAAATAGGTTTCCTAAGCGGGTAGCCGGGCTGTGACAGCAGCATGCGCCGCTTGTTTGAATATAGGTACGGCATGCATACCGACACTCATTCGCTGGTCTCCGTTTGGCGCCCCAGGCAAGGGTTTGCCTCTCGCACTTCACTGCGGACTCAAGCGAGATCGAGCACGAGCGCCCACGAAAGTTCCAGAACCAGCTGAGTTGAGAGCATGTTGAAGCGCAGTCCCCCCTGATCACTCATTTATACCGCTCCGGTGTGAGGACGACCGAGATCCACAAGGCTCTTCAGAAACCTGGCTGCAGGCTGGGGTCGGCAGGAAGAGATGCGGTGAGTGGGCAAGCATGAAATTTGAGGGTGTTTAGCTTAAAACGCCTCGGACACTGGAGGTAGCTCGAAAGCAGCGTGGTGCCAAAGGGTGTCGATCGTGCGGTATCCATTCAGACATCCGTGTTTCGTCGCTCTCATGTCGCCCGGCGAAACCTAAGCATATCTTCGACATCAAACCTCTGATAACCTGACCCTGTCCCGTCGACCGATGCTTGCATGTTGTCCGATAGGTGCGCGGAATCAAGAGGAAGACGAATGAGGAGACCACAGGCTTCAACGACGCCCAGGAGCTTGTGAAGCAGCTCCAGGAGGAGAAGTGCTTCATGAAGTTCAAGATGGACGAGCACAACCGCATCAAGTGCATAGCTTGGGCGTACCCAGAGCAAGAGCAGAATGCGCGGCGATACCATCGCGTCATCTTGCAGGACAACACGTTCAACACCAACGTGTGAGTGGACGTTTTGGCCATGATTTGTGTTGAAGTCTCTGCGGCACCCGATGTGGATATTTGCAGCAGGTGCGTTGTTAATGATCTGACGCGCGCCACGCCAATTCGATTCTCTCGCTGTTGTGTCACGCCATGCTCACACCAGCTACAAGTTCTTCTTGGCACTAATCGTGGTCGTGGACATGGAGAACTACACCCAGATTGCGATGCAGGCGCTGCTGTCGAACGAGCGGAGTGAAGACTTCATCTTCCTCATGGAGACCTTCAAGGAGCTCTGCGGTGGACTGATGCCACAGGTGAAACTATCACCCGCGTACTGTAGGGTCGGAAGGTACACGCCAAACACCTCCCCATGAAGCATGCCCAGGAGGAGGCTGTTCGGCAACCAGAATAAGAATATCTGACGTATGAGTTCACGTCATTTTGTTGACATGTTCCATGCGCCATGTGTTCCTTTGTCTGCTCTGGTCCTTGACAATGGTGATATAGGTGGCCTTCACTGACTGTGACCAGGGAGCAATGGGGGCTATCGCGGAAGTCTTTCCAGGGGCGTTGAACAAGTTGTGCATCTGGTACGCAATGCAGAACATCCGGAAGCATGGGAAAGGTCTTGCGGATGGTGCCCTGCAGTCGGTGCTTCAGAACTTCAAGGCAGCGGCATTCGCTGCAAGAGTCGAGGTATTGATATTGGTACCTTGTTGGCGGATGCTGCAGAGACTTTCAAAGTGGAAGGGTGAGGATCGTGCTTGCAGGCGACGTTTGCGGTGCCCCGCTGCCGCTCTTGGTTCTTATTTGTTTTCGCCGGATAAGGATTTCACCGTGTCCTCTCTCCCGCCCATTTTCTCCCATCCCCTCACTCACTATTCCAATGTTGCTCTTGCAGGATTTCGTGCGGTACAAAACAGAGCTCCCCCGGCTGTTGCCGCAGGAGAGCGCAATGCACAAGTACATGGAAGGAACCATCTTCGGTGCAGGGTAAGCATCATGCGGCCATGGTAGCTGTCGGTAGGTTTCGTTTCCATGACGGATTGCTGTTCTGCTGCAACGAGTAGATTGCTTGGTCTAGGACGCGTCAATTGTCACCATCCTCTCTCTGCCCACTAACGTTTACCGGTATCCGTCCCGTAACGTGTCACAGGCGGGTAGAGAAGTGGGCGTCATGCGTCCACCCTGGTCTCCACAAGCTCGGCATCGCCTCCACACAGCGCTGCGAAGCGACTTTCACTGCGCTGAAGCTGGTGGTGACCAGGAACGGGAACATGGTCGATCTCAACCGCGCGCTCTTGTCCAAGGTTCAGGATGACGCCATCAAGACCCAAAGGTGGGCGTTCCGTGACGTTGGTGTGTACTTTTGCGGCCCTCTGGATTGCAGCCCGTGGCCAAGCGACCAACACATGTGTGTTACACGGTTGTGTTCTAGCGAACTGCCCAGAAGGGAGGAAGTAGGTCCTGCCCAAACCAACATCTCTTTTCCATTTGAATTCCAGCGTTTGTGTTGAAGGCCGCCTGTCGTGTGATTCTAGTTCAACTTGTCCGTGACGTCGCGCATACACTCCTGGCTCCAAATTTATATGTGAATTATTCTGCAACGACGGAAAAAACATAACCAGCACACCCAACTACACCGATACTGTGCCAGCATAATATCAAGTGGTGACGTGTGTAGTTGATATGTGTCGTGTATCCCCGTCCTCGTTCCTGCGCTGTATTTATAGCCGAAATAAGGGGGGGGCGGTCACCCGCGTGCCTGTGAGGAAAGTGTCCCCTCAGGAAAGCGTCAAGGCCAGCTTCCTTCGGCACTTTAGCTTCGTCTTCGAAGCAATGGAGCACGAGAGGTGCAGCAGGCACGCCAAGGAGGTCAGTGGTGGCTTTTGTAGTTGTGCCGGTGAGTAAACCCCCACCGCTCCTTCGTAGATGCCTTAGATGCCGCATCTTGTGGTAGTGCACGGTTACTTGGTCCAGTGATGCAGATGATTGCCGCGTTCACGCCACCAACTTTCCGTGCTGGTATTCCTTTTAATGCGAGACCTCCCCTCTCCAACGCCGCCGTTCCCCGTGGTTCCTGCATGCTGTAAATGGTAGGATGTGGAAGAGCAGATCTTCGCAGCATTCGGGTACGAGGCCGTGACTGTCGCGACTGGCCAAGATGCGGTGAGGACCCTGCTCGCGGAGTTGGTGGCAGATCCGACGAAAGCGAACCTGGCCTACGACATCTGCTCCGGGGAGTTTATAGATCCGGGAGGAGAGGCCGCCGGTCCCGCTCATGTCACCATGGCGACCCGAACGTCCGTGGCTCACTTTGCGGATTTGCTCCACGACCAGAACGTCGAGGAACTGGTGCGCATCACCATCTTCAACGCCCAAAGTGAGTTCGGTCACCTCGTTGCCCTTGGACCGGATGGCTTCTTTCTCTGTACGTGCCTGCGAATGCTGGTCTACGGGCTGCCGTGCCCACATTGCATCAAGGCCTTGGCGCACATGCGCGGCAACGACAAGGTCTTCAGCTTCAATGCAGCATGCATTTCACCTCGCTGGCGTGACAGCGAGACGTCGTGGACGATGGCGCACCTGGCCGCTAAGCCTGCCAGGCTAGCGACTGCAGATGCGGAGCTTGCCGGGCTGCCGGTCATCGACCCCAACTCGGTCGTCGTTTCCTACTCCAGCGCCACCGTCGCAGCCACCGTCGCAGCAGCCGGGTACGCGGATGCCGTCTCGTACGGGAAAAAAATGGGTGGCAAACTGAGAGGCATCACCTCGTCGGCGGGCATCCAACGCGTTCTGGAGAGCACGTATGACTTCTTCTTGCAGCAACTCGAGGTGGAGAAGAGGTCGCAGTGAAACGAGTCAACGAGCCGGGTGTTCTCCGGCACGCGGCAGGGAGAAGCCGGAGGGGCGGGCCCAGGGGGGACGGGAGGACGGGGTGAAAGTTGCTCCACAACATCTGGGAGCAGGACGGGGCGGAAGGCGGGGCGGGGTGGGAGTGGCTCCACAACATCTGGGAGCAGGGCGGGGGCGAAGGCTGGGCGGGGTGAGAGTGGCTCCACAACATCAGGGAGCAGCGCATGGGGGGTGGTGCGCGGAGACTCGGGTTGTTTGGTGACGGGCATGGCAAGCCCTCTCGCGGGGGCTCTGGCTGTCCAACCGCCAGCAGCAGCCGCGGGCGCCGTTATTCGTGCTCAGGAGGCGCAGGTTTGGCCACTTCCTCGATAACCGGCCATCTTGCTACCTTGGAGAACCTGCTGCCGCCTGTGCGCCAGAAACAAACGGGGCAGAGCCGTAGGCACAAGTCAAAGTGACCGTAGTGGATGACTCGCCCCACCATCATCAGGGAAATATTCGCGCCCCTACCGGTGGCGGGGGTTCGGGGGTTCGTTCACATTGCCGCCCTCGAGTATATTTCGGATTCCCTATTTTTACCTTCCTCGGTGGTACCCAGCAGGCCGCAGCGGTAGCTGGCAGGCCACAGCGAGGAACCAAGGGGCGTCGCTTGTAGGGGGGGAAGCAGAGTCATCATTCAACCACGCGGAATCGTTAAGAAGGTCGAGCTGAGCCTTGAGGCGTCGAACCTAGCTGTCCTTGCCGTCGTTGGCCTTGCCGAGCCGAACGTTGTCCTATCATCGCCCGCCCACAGCACTGCAGCACAGAGCGCAATACGACGGAAAGCGGAGGTGGTGGTGTCACCACATGCTACCATTCTCACTGTGCAGACATCGCCTCTCTCACCCGTGGATATCCGTTGAGCGCTCGCTTTGAGGAGGGGTTCCAACAAAGGAACGACATACATAGTTGGGCCCCACAACCCGATCCGAAACCATGACTCGCGACGTATGCATATGCTGGTGGAAGGGTACGCTAACCGACTAGGTTGGTCAACGTCTTCATCAGACGGGCACCGTCATGTGGAAGCTGTTGCAGCTCCTCTTCTACCGGCATGTGTTTACTTCCTGCTCGTACGTTGCATAGGCAATGATTTCAGGAACATCTCGCAAACTCAGTTGATCTGTATATGACTGTTGTACCGTCAACGTTTCCCCTACAGAGCAAAGCGAATGTTGATGTTGTCAAGACGGGTGTTCGAATGGATGCCTCCCATGGCCTCTCCCCAGGAAACGTTAAGACGAGTAATCCACAAACTCGGTCGCATTGGGCGTCAAGAGAGTGCGAGACCCCTCTGTGTCTCACAACGCGCAGTCGTACTACATAGCAACAACAACGTTTGCGCTCTTGTTCCACATTTTTTTCCAATTATTGAGGTGATGACCACGCGTGGTACGATACCAAAGTGCATGACGGTTGCCCGGTAGACTTGCCAGAAAACGGTTTCGGCCGTATGTTCTCATGTTCAAGTCCCCTTCGTCGGGTATGAAGACCGTCGATGCTTGAAGGCTGTGGGGACAATGTTGTGAAGATGCTTGCAGCGTTGCTCTGTACTAGATATCACGGATTGACTCACACAAGGCGCGTTCTGCGTTTCAACATTTGTTGATGGAATGATTTGCTTGCTGCGATGGTTTAGGTCTCAATGCCGTACCATTCGCATAGGATATCTTCCACATTCAAGCAATCTAGGCAAGAAGGCGATGGCGAGATACGCTACGGTCGTCCATCCACGTACTTCGGACGTTCCATCCCATCATATGATTCAGAGGAGGGTTAAGCAAGATCTCTCCATGAAAACTGCTTGCTTACTTGTGTGTCCACCGGTTCCCTGCTAGTTCCCGCCAAAACCTGCGTCCATCCACCCACAATGCGATGTTTCTGTCCCCCGCGGCTGCCAACTCTGTCCTATTCAACAAACAGCTTTGCACAGCAGGTGGGGAAGCGCCGATATCGTGGATAGCTCCTCGAGTTTCCGGGACAACAACCACCCCGCCTCCATTGCTCTCTACACCCTCACCCAGCGGAGGTAGCTCTCGTCGTGACCCACCAGTGTTCAAGCGCGGCGTCGGCGATCAGAACCTCCGCACCAGGCTTGTCACGGGCGGCCTCTGCGTCCGAAACGGCGTTGGTTGCCATGTTGGTCTTGGTGACCGGCTGATCGATCGCACGAGTCGCCTCGGAGGCCACGGTTCCGGTAGCTGCGGCGGCGATCATGGCAGCCGATGCGTCTGGGGCTTTCCTGCCCACGCCCCAGACGAGTCGGCCGCTCTCTTCGCCGCTGCCGCTGCCGGGACCCCGGGACCGTGGCCTCCAATGTCACCCATGCGATCGACAAGTCGGCCACTAGGATCAACGTTGGTGACCAACAGCAGGATCATTGTGACCAACGACCAACGCTGTATTCGACGCCGACGCCGCCAATGACAAAGCCGGTGCTGAGGTCCTGATCGCTGTGGGGATGCTTGAAACTGGTGGCTTACCGCGAAAGCTATCTCTGCTGGGTGAGAATGTAGCAAGTTGTTTTTGTCCCCATGTCCGACCACAGTGACGAAATCTGTCGTTACTGTTGTACTTGGTGTTGGTCTTGGTGATGCTCTTACTACGGAGTGTGGTTCCTGCAATATTGAAAATGGCACGTGTATCGAGCGCTGATTTTCCGTTCTCCCATTGCTATGAGAAAGCAAGCACATGGAATAGAGGAAGGAGCAAGCGTTTCCGGCGTCACCCGTTCATTTACAACGCGAACACTTGCACTTTCCCGAACACACACATCTGCCCAAGTTTGACGGGGGCATCGCCCGTATGGTAGTATTTAGCCCGAAATTGGAGTCTATGCCCTAACCGAACGGTACAACGGCATGGTAGTCCAATAAAGCTCTCAGGGCAACAAAGCTAGTGGTAAACCTGTGCCTCACCCACTGCGTGTGCCCTCCTGCCCCCATTTCTTACCCAATACAAAGTGAATGACAGCCATTCCTTCTGGACCTTTCGGTGTAGCACATGTTCAGAGCCTTCCAACACCACGATAAAAAAATTACCGTAAATGACACAAAATAAGAAACCCCGGTGGTAACATTTTGGGGTTTGAAAATATTACCACCCGGTCTACTATACTGTGGGGGGGGTGATATATTGTGTACCCCCGGTGATAAAGTGCAGCTCGCATCGGTCCCAAGGGGGTGTGATAAATAAGGGGGTGTGATAGCGCGTCCGAACAGCCACAGCGTGTGTTTGGGGGTGTCATAACAAACGAACAGCCACAGCGTGTGTTTTGGGGTGTGATAAAATGAGGGGTGTGATACCGATACACTGCACACCATTACCGTATAGAGTCGAACCGCTGCTGCCGTACACCTGAAAGGGTGTGGTATTGCGGAGGTGTGATAGGTATACATGCTACCTGCACCAACACGTGTAGTGTATTTAGGGACCTACGGTACCTAAAGGGGCGCGGGACAAAAAACAAAGTGGCTCAACCGAGGTGAGGGAACGCCTGAGCACATGGCCTCGGCGAGATCAACCTTCTCAACGCAAAAAAAGTTGGAAACACGATACGGGCTTGAATGGAGCAAGAAAGTATTGTAAGTCGAAGGTATCTCGCCCAATACGATGATTGGCGGTGGGCACAGAGTGCGCCATCCTTTCTGCCCCCCTCACAAAAGGTTGGCTGCTGCGTGCCTTGCTTTGGGTACGAACCAAAGAGAGTTACCTAGGTACCTATACCGGTACGTAAGAACACCACGAACAAGAATCAACGACCGCAAACCGCAAACCAACGAAACACCAACAACGTTGCACTCCACGCGGCGAAGAAAACAGGCGACTTTTTCTTCACACTCGCTCAAAGACGCCCGACGGCAGAGAAAGATACGCCAGGAAAAACCCAAGGAAACATGAGAAGACACCACAAGCCATTTTCTCAACACTAGCATCGCTGCCGATGCCTCACAGCTCCCCGCCCTCGTCGTCGCTCACGTCCACCACCACCACACCCGTCTCGTCGTCATCGTCGATGTCCAACACCTCCAGCAAGTTCTCGTTCTTGCCTCCTGACGGCGGGTCAGCCTTGTCCGCAGCGTCCGATGGCCCGCGGATGGGCTCCCCCTTGGCGTTGGAATCGAGCTCCTTGTTGGCCCAGGCCTCGTCTCCCGACCCGTCGTAGGGCAGCAGCAGGCCAGCCTTCCTCCAGCTCGAGCGGATTTCGTCCGCGGTCAAGGCATCCCACGCCTTCTTGACCCACTGTGCGACCAAGCCCCGCGAAGGGGGCTCCGGATAGCCCCGCTCGTTGCGCGTGACGTCTTTGGAAGCCATGTGGTCGTCGTAGAGCTTGGACATGTTTGCCTTGAAGATCTTGTTGACCAGGCCATCGCAAGGCTGGAGCTTTGGAGTCAGGCCTCCCGGGATGAGGAACAGCGTCGTGTTGGACTCCTTCATCGCCTTGGTAGACGCGTCCGTCTTGTGGACGGTGTAGTCGTCCCACGCAAGAAGCGTGTCAGGCTGACGGTAGCCGCCCAGGCGGCCGAGCCGCCCCGGGCGCCGGTTCCACACCTGCGGCACCCACACCTCGTCGAACACCCGCTGGGAGTGCCATCCCTTGGGGTCCACGGCGTAGGCCATACCTCGCGGGTACGCGCAGCCCTTCTTGTCCCTGTAGTCTTTGAACTCGCGCTCGATGCTGTTGGCGGCGGGGGACTTCCCCTTCGGAGTGGGCTGACCCTTGAAGATGAGAAGGGGCTGCAGCTTGGTGCCGTCGGCGAACACCGTCAGAACCGATGTGATGCGCATCTTCTCCTTGCCGCCGGTTTTGACGGAAATCTCCTTGTCGCCTGTGGCCTGCGGTATTCCGAACAGCGAAACCGACATCAACGTGGGGTGCGTCGAAACGACTTTTGTTGTAAAGATTCGGAAAGTGGCAGCAGTGCGTGCAAAAACACATGATCAGAATCACAGGAGAACAGGAAACGAAGGAAAAGACGAAAATTTCGCACACGTAGAAAGTTCATCATCAAAAGGGTGGCCCAAAAGAATCGTTGGCACAGGAAAGGACAACATTGCTACATCTAACGCAGTAAGAGCAAAAACTAGAGCAAAACTATTACGTACGTACTCACGTTCACAGTGTCCTTCCCCGGGCTCTCGAACCACGTGGGGGTTTCGTCCATGTTGCCGATCTGCGCCAAGTCGAACTTGAGACGCGGACCCGAAGGAATCACAGCGCCACTCCCACCCCCGCTGCCGCTCGCGCTGGCTCCCGCCCCTGCCGCAACCCCCAGGCACTCGACTCCGTCCGCAAGTTCGAGCGCGGAAGGCACGTCGTACTTCAGCGTCCTCCACTCCTTGATAGCCTGCATGGCGATCACGGGCCAGCCAGAAGGAAGTTTCTGGCCTTGTCGGGTGACCGCTCGCACAGAGAAGCGGTAGACCCTGAGAAACCTCCTGCACCACTGGTTCTGCCTGTTGTTGTACTTCTGGCAGCCCTGGAGATCGGATGGCGCCGGCCTCTCTCCGAAGAAGTTCGGGTTGAGTTCGACGGCCTTGTTCTTGAGCATTTTCGTC